ACCTATCTCAAAGCGACATCATCAAGCCCGCCACACGCTCGAAGGCCGTGCCTATCATCCGTCCGGACAACACGCGCTCGCAGACTCCCGAGACTGAAGGCCGTGAGGACCACGAGGATGAGTCTGGCCGACCCAAGCAAGCCGACGGCCGCGAAAAGCGAGCTCGCCGTGACCGCGCTGATGGTGACGATGTCCCCAAGTTTGCACTCCAGCCCGTGCTTGCATCGCAGCCTTTGGCAGAAGTCAGACAGCCCAACGCTAGCAAGCAAGAGCCTCAAGTCGAAAGGGAGGCCGTCGCAGAAGACAAGGAGAACCTGTCGCCCGTACGTGAGCAGGTCAAGGCCAAGTCGAAGAGCCCCGAGCCTCTGTCGCAGCCAACGGAAGAGGTCATCATGGAGCCTATCTCGCCTGCACCAGAGAGCGATCTAGGTGCAGACGACGATACACCTCACGCGAGCGATGTGCCTACGCCGACTACCGAGGAGCCCGAGCCACTGGGCAACAAGCACTCTCACAAGAGCACGCTTTCTGCCAACGCCAAGCCCTTCGAGTTCCGACCGCAGTTCAACAGTGCTGGCTACGACTTCGGCTTCCACGTTACGAAGCCGTCTCAGGTTGAAGATCCCGAGAAGTCTCAAGTGTCTCCACCGAGATACGCAAGCAGAAGCCCAGCAACTACGTACAGGCCTAGCGACGACGGCTCGTTCAAGACTGCTATGGAATCTGGCAGGCACAAAGGCTACCCTGAAAGCGAAAGTGCTGATTTCGACCAACTTGGTGATGCTTCCTTTAACGACATTGATGCTGTCATGAAGCATATGGATGGTGAGGGCTCGGACTTTGGCGTCGAGCGCGACGAAGCCTCTTGGGACCAATCTTCCCCCCAGAGAACGCCAAACGTGTTTGAGCGCAATGACCTGCAACCCAACTTCAAGATGCGCAGTGACGCCCCCAGCCCCAGCCCCCGTCGGGGATTCTTCCCGGGACGCCCGATGCAGGGATCTGCAACATCAGTGCAGGATCCGTTTGACGATGAGCGGGCTGCGCTCCCATACGACTCGCCTGTACGCCACATGAACAATGCTGACGCCGGACCCATGAGCGATTGGGACGAAGGTCTTCTTACTGAAGACGAGTCTAAGGTCCAGACACGCAGCGGCTTTTTCGACAAGCATGTTGATGACCTCATGGGCCGTCTCCTGCAGGACCGCCTTGGCCCGCTAGAGCAAAACCTGCAAGGCATTCAAGAGGCACTTGCAATGATGTCGCAACGTCCGGGACGCGGCCGCCGTAGCATGTCGACTAGCGCACGCCTGGACAGCGATGCCGACGACGAAGATGACGAAGCAGAGACCGACGTTGACTACCGTAATCGATCTCGTGGAAAGGACAGGAAGTTGGAGAAGATCCGATCCATCGTCCAGGACGCGCTTGAGATGCACCAATCACAGATCACATCTATTCCGGTGCCCGTTCCCGAGCCAATGATCCCAGAGAAGATCCGGGAGATCGTCACCGATGCGCTTGCGCAACACCAGCCACCTGTACAACCTGTCGAACCTGTTCCTGCTGCTCAGATCCGCGACATTGTCCAGGATGCGATTGCTTCTACCACCATTGCATCCTGGACTGAGGCTCTCAAGCCTGACGACGTTCGTTCTATCCTTGCTGACATGCTCGCAACCCATCTTCCTAAGCCCGTGGAATCGGTCAAGCCTGACGACATCCGGTCCATCGTGTTGGAAGCGTTCGAGACGCACGCTCCTCAGCCAATGCCACCCCCAGTGCCTGAGCAGATCTGGCCTGACGACTTGAAGGCAATCGTTACCGAGGCTCTTGCGTCACAACAAACGCCAGCTGTGGAGCAATTGCAAGCGGAGACCATTCGCTCCATTATCGCTGAAGCACTCGCATCCCACCAGCCTTCAGCTCCTAGTGCGCCAACTGCCGAAAATGTACAGCCCGATATGATCCGTTCTATCGTTGCCGAGGCCTTGGCGAACCAGAAGCCTGCTGCCACTCTTGAGGCTCCCGTCGATATTCCCCAGCCACAGGTCGATATGTCCGAAATCTACCAGGTCATCGGTAGCCTCAAGGCTTCTATTGCGCAGACCACTAGCCACCATCTTCAGGCTGAGGAGGTTCGTGAACTTGTTGAGGAAGCTCTGAAGCGCCATGGTGAAGAGGTTGCCGAGCGTGAGAACTCCAAGGCCGTCCAGGAGAGGGATGTTCGTATCGCGGACCTTGAGGAAATGCTCAAGGAAGCCACTCTTCGATTCAACGAGGAAGCTGAGGCCCGCCAAGCCCTCGAGGCTCGTGAAGCGGACTCTGCGCGCCTGCTCAAGGTCACCGAGGAAGAGCTCACGCTTCTGCAGCAGACTTCCCGTGATGACGAACACAAGATTGGCACATTGACAGAGGAGCGAGATGACCTCCGCCGCAGCCTCAACTCATACCAGGCGGATTCAGCCGACATGCGCGATAGACTCGCCACTCTCGATATTGAGAACGAGCAGCTCAAGCTTACAAACATCGCCCTGGAAAGCTCGGAGGAGGACCTGAAGAAGAGGCTCGATTCAGTCACCGCGGAGAACGAGGCACTCAACTTTACGCTCGAGGAACACCGTATGTCCGCTAACAAGTGGCGTGGTGACCTGCAGCACGCTCACGAGGAAGGAGAGCAGCTGCGCAAGGCTATCGGAGAGGCGCGCTTCCAGGCCGAGGAGGCAACCCGAGTACGCGAGTCGATGCGCACCAAGCTCGAGAAGCTACAGCAAGATATGGTTGCCGCTTCACAGCAGATCGCATCTGAGCGTGCTCAATGGCAAAAGAACGAGGAGGCCTCCGCAACCAAGTACGAGGTCCTCAGCGCACGCATTGAAGCTGAAGGTCGCACACGAGAGCGTCTGGAGAGGGAGCTCGAGCGCTTGGAGACCCAGGAACGTGAGGGTATGAGACTCAGGATTCATCTCGAGCAAACCCAGAAGCACAACGCCAGACTTGAGGAGACAATTGAAGAGCTGAGGAGGGAATCTTTGGAGCACCAGAAGAACGCCCAGCGCTACGAGCGTGACATGCGCGAGGCTAGGGATGCTGCGCACGTTGAGATCCGCCGTACCCGCGTGCTTATGGAGGCCGATGTTGACGCAGCTAACAACCAAGTCAACATCGTTCGCCACGAGCTTGAGAGCGAGGTCGCTCGTGTCCGCGCTGAGCTGGACCAGGTTCGCCTGGATGCTGATACAGCCAAGGAGAAGCACGAACTGGATCTGGAGGCCGCTTCCGACCTCAAGAAACAAGCCGTACAGGAAGCGATCGAGAACAACAGACACAGCCTGCAGGAGCAGCAGCGCACTTTCGAACGCCAACTTGAGCACATGCAGCATGAACATGCTCGCGCTCTGGAATTCGCGCGTGAAGACAAGGATCGTGCTGATGCTTTCCACAACGACAAACTTGCGCTCGCCGACTCCAAGCTCGACCACTTCAAGGACAAGATCGCGTTGCTGGAAGAGAAACTTCAGGTCGCAAAGGAAGCCGCCAACGCCGCTGTTGCAGCAGCATCCAAGTCTCCTACGTCTACCTCTTCGTTTGCTCCTAGCGGCGCAGAGAAGATCTCGCCCCAAGCGCTGCGCGAATCTATTGGTGTTCTCCAGGAGCAGCTACAGGAGCGTGAAGGACGTATCGAAGCTCTCGAGCGCCAGCTTGAAGATGTTGACACTGAGGCCCCAGCCAAGTTGAAGGAACGCGACACTGAGATCAACTGGCTCCGTGAGCTACTTGGTGTACGTGTTGATGACCTGAACGACCTCATCAACTCCCTTGCTCAGCCAACCTTCGATCGCGAGACCGTTCGTGATGCCGCAATCCGCATCCGCACCAACTTGCAGATGGAGCAAAGTGAGAAGGAGCGACTCATCTCGGGCGGACAAAAGTCTCTCCCAACTCTGAGCTCGCTCTCCAACTTTGCTTCCCCCAAAGCAGTCCAGCTTGCTGCCGCCATCGGTAACTGGCGCAAGGGCCGTGGCGAGGCTACCTCCGCTCTCGCAGGCACCTCAACCACCACGCGGACCCAGACGCCATCCCGTGCGCAGCCTCACTCGGCACAGTCCTTCCTTTCAGGCCTCATGACACCACCAACCTCCAACGCGCGCCGCGGATCAGAACTCTCATCCTCGTCGCAGCGCCCTCAGCCCCTGCGCACAAACTCGAACAGCTCGCGCGCATCAACCGAAGCCGGTTTCCCCGCCCTGGGCAAGCAGCCCCGCACACCACCTCTGATGCGCAAGCAAGCCTACGACCAAGACGCCGAAATCGAGCCTTTCAGCGAGAGCGGCTTCTACGACGATGAAAGCACTGTTGATGGCGAACTCACGCCACTAGCGTTGAACTTTGGCCGGGAACTACAACAACGGTAGATTCTGCGACCATGACAAAACAAACAAGAACGACGAAACTGCAAAACTAACAACCTTTTCCTTTGTTAAAGAGTTTTTCCCTTTTGCGTTGATTTACCGCTTGCTCTACACGAGCGTCTTCTGCCGCTGCCTTATCATGGGTTCTGCGTCTGTTATCTACCTTAATGCTTGCTTCTACTGCTCGCGTTGCCTTTTCTTCTGTCTTTTACAGTACAGCACAGCGACTTAGGTTGGCTATTGGAATATATACCCCCGCAAGACCGTTTTTTCGAAGTTATAGCTCAAATTGTATACAACACAACAGGTTTCTCCTCGTTATATAGCTTTTCTTATGTATGTTTGGGGAATGAACAGGAGGGGGACACTGGGCGGAGGAAAGGGAAGGTTGCGCGATTTGGAATTTGGAATTAGTTGGATATCAAATTGGATAATATATACTGTTCTTTTTGAAAATTGACGTGTGTTTGAGTGGAGCTTCGAATGTCCGTATAGGCTTAGATGGATTAAGGTGAAGTACGCGATTCGTGCTATGTCAGATTACTTCGTCCTATGCTTGAAAAGGATGTCATTTTTAGCATGATATCAAACCTTTCGAATCATAAACATCCTCTTCACAAACGGACTCCGTTGAAAGCTCTCCGCCTCAGCCACTGTGGGATCAACGCCCCCCTTCGCAGCCGCCGCAGCATTCTCTTCATCTTCGCCAATCTTCCACGTCCTCACCATCCACAAACAAACCGCAGCGCCGATGTACATCCACCCCGTGAAGAGGATGGCACCGGTGTAGCTCCCTCCGTTGAACGCGACGATCTCGAGGCCGATGGGCTCGGAGACTGTTATCACGCGTCAGCACACGTTCCTACGTAAACGAAAGCAATTAGGGAAAAACACGGACAGAAAAACCAGGGCGAAAGAACAACGCAGACTTACAAGTAGTAGGCAGCACCAGCACCAACCAAGTAATACTCAACGCACTCGGCAAATCCCTCAACCCCATAACCTCGGTCGTAACCGGCGCCGCCGTCGCCCAAAACGTGCCCGCCACGCAACCCCCCACCAAACTAAAGAAAACCAGAACACCAAAGCTCTTCGCGAAGATCCAGATTAACAGGCAAAATACGCCGACGAGGAACGTCATGCTGCCAGCCATGTTTAACCTGCCTATAGAGTCGGAGAAGTAGCCTATGGGGGGCCGGCCGAGGGCCTGGCCCAGGTTGAAGACGGCGCCGATGATGCTGCCTTGGTTGGCAGTTAGCCCGATTGTGCGGGCGTAGGAGGGGAGCGAGAAGAGGAGGACTATGTAGCCGAGCATGCTTAGGACGCCGAAGGCGAGGAGGCCGATGAATTGGGGTTTGCGGAAGAGGGTGTGGTCGAAGCTGATCTATAGGGGTATGTTAGTATGAGGGCTGCAGTGGTTGTGATGGAGCTTTTTGAGCTGGTGCTTGGGATGCGCGTTGGAGGATATCAGACGCCATGTTCGCTGTATCCTATCTCGCATCCCATATCACCAACAAAAAAGAATAGAAACACCGACACATACCTGCCTACTCCCCACCTCCTTATTCCGATCCCGAATCACGCACGCACAAACACTATTCACGACCCCCGCAACAACCGCCAGCGTACGAAACGCCCACGGCAACCCGATATCCCTAATCATCGCCTGCGCCGCAAGACTATATATCAGCCCGCCGAGTCCACTCCCCGCAGCACAACACCCATTGGCCAGACTACGGTGCGTGGTAAACCATTGCGCTGCAATGCCCACGGACCCCACGAAGAGAAAGCCCATTCCCCATCCGAAACACACGCCTTGGCTGAGGAAAAGGTGCCAGATGGAAGACGCGAAGGACGCGCCGATGAAGGATACGGTTTCGAAGAACACGCCGATGAAGAGGGTGGTACGCGTGCCGAAGCGCCGGGTTGTGTATGTGGCTACGGGCGAGACGATGAGCGCCTGGGAGATTGATAGCCCGCCGATGAAGGCGTACTGGAGCGGTGTTGCGCCGGGAAAAGTGGAGGTAGAGAGGTAGTGCGCGAGGAAGACGGCGTAGGCAGAGTTTAAGCCCCAGGTATGCCCGTTTATCGTTGCGACGGCGGCGACGCAGATCCAGCCGTAGCCGCCGTTGGGGGGGACATCGACTGGGTGAGTATCCGGGGGAGATGGAGTTTTCTGTGATTTTGATGCTTGAGTTAGTTGATGGGTTGGTGAGGTTCCTGGCATGGATTGTGGAGTGTTGGTGGTGTGGATATCCGGCTGTGGGTTTGCAATAGTCATGCTCTTTTCTGATGTCGACATGTCATTTCTTTGATGTCCATTGACTCCCTCCTCTTTCTCCCGTTGCGGTGCTTTCATCTCCATCTTCACACTTTCCAAATCCTCTTCGTCTTCGTTCGTCGTTTCTCTTCGTGCTTCGCCTTCTCCCGGGAATACGGTATCACACAGCACAATCCTATCCGACCGGCACAATCCCGCTCTTTCCAATCTCTTGAAATGAGTAAAAACAATCACCTACACACTTCTGCGCACCAAGATACACACTGAGACCACGTCGCAAACGTGTGCGAACATATTAGGAGTCATGTTTGCGCCTCCCTCGGTTGAAGAGTAAGGAAGCAAGCAAAAAAAAGTGGAGGTTGACATCCCTACGCCCTTGTCCGGAAATAAACTCATAACCCGAACTTATTACGTTAAACCGCTCGATAGGCCCTGCCTCTTCCGGTTAATGCAGAGACGGAACCATGCCGCGAATGTCGCACGTCGGCACCGCGAGTCGAGATGCACAGCCGTGCCGATGAGTTTATAGCTGTACTCACCACCTTGCCCGTGCTTTAACTCACGAGTTCAAGTGTTCTTTGATTTATTGATTCGTTACTACAAAAGAGAGGAAAATATCCAAAACGCTATTCTAACAATCTAAGCCAAGAGGTATCATCATTCGTCAAACCATTCCTATGCCCATTTATCGCGACTCGCACTGAGCCATGAACCTGTACATGCCTTCAACGCCCTGGTATTCCAACGGGGTGTGCATGTCCATTTCGTCGGCCTCGCTAGTATGCAAGCTGTCGTATCCCGAAGGCGACGAAGAAGATAACCACGGATTTGGCTCAGTTTCAAAGTCATCTAGCTGATCGTAGCTTTGTTCCGAATGTGTCGAGAAGTCTTCTGAAGCCGCGAGTGATGGCGAGAGCATGTGCGTCCAGTCAATGTTCGGTTGTACGTGTTGGCGCTCGGCAACGGGCTTGTCGTAGAATGAACATTCGGAGGGTGTTTGGCTAGGTGCGAAGGGGAAGAGTAGCGCGATATCGGTGCCGACGAAAGAGTCAAAGTCCGCGTCCTGATGAACTGCGCCTCTGGAGACCTCAAAGTCGTTGCATATCGTCTCCACTGTTTGCGCATCGCATCCAGGGAAGTGGACTTTGAGGACCGAGTTTTCATATGAGATCGGAAGATCGCCTAATGCCGCCAGTCGTTGCAGGTCGTTCAACACGGCAGCGAGCTCCTTGACAGCTCTTGAAAAGTCGACGGACAGGACATCGAGGAGACCCTCGCTGTTCAATGTCTCCTTCTCCTGAGCGAAAGAGGTGAAGCCCTTGACGGCCTTCAGGGGAGTAAGAGCTGTGACGGTGGGGTTGACGTTGAAGCTAATGTAGGATCCAGGGGTGGCCTTGGGAACCTTGTTCAGCGTACGGTTAACCTGGTCTTGTAGCGCGGACACAGTCTTGAAGCGCTTCTCGCCGTTGTGAGGGTTGACGCCATCGAACTGGGCCTTCTGTCCACCGACGAGGAACGCTCGCACAGCCTGAGAGACGTTGTTGATGACTTGGGCGGGCGATGCGGGTCCATGCGAAAAGTAACGCGCACCTCCAGCCCTGCCAGAGCCCCAGCCGTAGCCCCCAGCTGTTCGTCCAAGTGCGCCACCGGTAAGGTTCGGGCGGAGGGTCGATGCGAAGGGTGCGCGGCCAGCCTGAGCGTTGACGATGCTTCCGATACGTGACTTAGGGAAGGAGGCCTTGTCATACTTCACGCCCGAGTTGCGAGCTGCAGAGGTGGTGAAGCGACGGACGGCGGCGCTGATCTGGCTGTGGGTGGTGTACCATCGGCCCTTGCTCTGCTTGAGGTAGGCAATGCGGTGAAGAGGGTGCTTTGGAGCATTTCGAGCGAGGATAGGTTGTAGTACTGCATCGGCAGGTCGTGCGGATTCTGGTAGTTGTTTCTGTACGAGTTTCGCAGCATGTTTCCAGGCAGCCCTCGTTTGTCAGTACGCGACCTCCTCGAATAGTATCGTGAACTTACTTGAACGCTCTCGCGTTCTTGGCCACCGAATTATACAGATGCACCACGGCAGGTGCCATGATGATTGTGTGTTCCAAGAGAGGAGAGAGTGGTGATGCGTCGAACTGTGGGGAAGGCGACGTTAATGAGGCGCAGGGTCAATGTCGCCACCGATCGGCACCATTGGTCTGGAACGCCGAGCAATGACGACGATCACATGCCAACTCACTCACCGCACCCTGGCTTTCGTTTCAAGTGAAGTGAAGCCTGATCTCCTCCGCCTGTAGAATACCGCTGCAAGTTCCAAACATGATTTGCTTGATGTTGCGCTGCTGTTGCCTGGCGGAGTATGCCCAGATGCGGATGGAATGGTAGCGACAGAAGTACCGGAATCGGAGTAGCAGCCATGCGACTCGACACCAGCAACCACTTCACGATACATGAGCGTATCATCCTGCGATACCTGGAAGATCGAGGTAAGATTTCACCATACGGGTCTAAGCTCAATACCAGGAACAGAAGGTATTCATTTTCGTACTTTTACAAAGCAAAAGCCACATCCGCAGACCTGACATCCGCTTATATACTTTGCTTCATGGAAAATAAGACTCCCAAGCAACCACATCCACCTATAAGTAAAGGAAGAACATGATTACCATATATGCCTGGGGGGAGAGAAAGCTGCCATCGAGTTTTGTATGCTGAGTCGGATGAACATGCAAAAGGTAGACGCACACACACAATAACGCCAGCTTTCAATGCTACGAGGCCCCTAGATCCAGGAAAAAGGAGGGAAAAGCCAGATATTCCTGAGAAGGGTATTTCGTATTGTGGGATTGGTAATTCGTGTGAACATTGAAGGAAAAGGTTTCCGAGACGCGAGGGCATTCTATCGAAGGAGGAAAAAACAGTTGGTCGGCCGCCGACCGGGTAGAAAACGCCAGAACATGAACTTTTTGTCAATGTATACACAGTCCGAAAACTCGCAAGGGGAAGGTGAGAAGCAACAAGACCGAAGACCGGGACGAAGACGTGCATAAACCTTGGCTCATACGACAGAGTTGAGACAGCACCCTGAAAGCATCATGGCGGTGTCAACAGAGCCAAGGTATCTGCATCAAGCAAATCATCAATACGCTGTCGGCTTCGAGGGTCCATGCTGCCGCTGCGATAAACTGCTTTCAGCTGATCGAAAGCTGGATTTCGCTCGTCTTCGGTCCTGATAAGTTCAACAAAGTCTGAAGCTACCCGCTGTCGAATCACGCTCTGTGGCGAAAGCAAAGACTCGCCGTAGAATTTGGTAAGATTGGAAATGCCAGTATCCGTCCTCCGGTGGGCGGCGTCTTCGAAAGCCAAATGGCGGAACTCGTCATACATTGATTGATTGAAATTCCGAATCAAGAAATGCGACCAGAATTGGTAAAGAACGTTCATGTCGTAAGGGGTTGTGCCGAGGGGTGCGTTGGAACGCTGATGAAGAGCTTTGGATCGAAGGTGAAAATACGATTCATGCGATGAATCAGAAGGGATGGTGTGAACTGGGCGGTGGTGATCTTTGACCCAATAGAGGCGAACAGGGGCGATTGGAGAAGTCGATCGGAACGGGTCGGTGTCGAGTTGTGGGTGATGAAGATGGCTCTCAGGGCTACTATCGACGTGATTAGCGCATACGTTCAACTCCTCTGAAACAGCAACTTACCCATCAGACATTCCGGCACCGTTGACCCTCAATTGGCAGGTGATAGACTTCTCCGGCTCATCTGGCACGCCATGTTTACTATCGATGGAGCCATTAGAAAACGTTCGGGAAACGGAAGGAGGCAACGACATTTGCGACGGGGGTTGCTTGCGCATGACGACTGTCAAGCTGTCGAGTTGCAAGTCGGAAAAAGAATCAGGAATATCTCCACTCACAGCCTTTGTCGAGCTCTCGATTGGGTGACCATTCGAGACGGCCGCGTTCACTTCTTCGGCAGCCACGCCATTCGTCTCCGCCAGCACTGAACCGGCATCCTGGGCAACGGGATGGAAACCGTTCATTTGGGGATACGCGCCCTCGTTACCAAACGGACTGAATGCTGGGGACATGGCCGACCACTGAGGAGGGTTGGACGGGTCGAAGCCTGCAGGGCGAGAGACCTGAGGCTGGTTCAGCTCTTTTGGTCCCTCGTTTTGTGCAGACGGATCACGCTCGGCCATGTCAAGAACCCACTGCTGCCAGCCGTCCTTGCGACGTAGTCTGTCCTGGCCGTTCTCGCTGGTGCGGTACTCGATGGTGGCAGACTGTTGGCAGACGAGCCTAATCATGTCGATATCAGGAGACAGGCTCTTGATGCGGTTGAAACCGGCGATGAATTCAAGAGCAACGAATCCCTGAGAGTCCATGTGGCGACGTAGGTACAAGTCCTTGATCAAGTTATCAACAGAGAAGTAGTACTCCCTGGTTATCTGTTAGCATGTTCATTGTGATGGGCGGATTAAAAGCATACACTTGGGTCGTGATCATAGCGAAGACCGAGTACTGATCAACGCCGTATGGGCTGTACGGTAATCCAGCGCTCATGGGCGCAGGCATTCCATAAGGATACATCTCATGCGACGTTTGGATAGGAGCTGGGTACCCGGGCTGGAATGGTGGATACCTGTAAGGATCGGTGGTCAATGACTGTGAACGGTGGTTGTTGCGACCGAATTTGCCGTGAGGCGCGGGGAAGAAGCTGTTGCTCTCAGGTACAAAAGTCGTGGGCGATCGCGGGCCCAAGGGAAAGCTCGACGTGGAGTGTCCGTTGGTGAAGTGGTGTCCATTGGTGTAGTTTCCACGGCCGCCACGGCCTCCACGGCCACGTTCGCGGCCGTTAGAGAACGAGCTAAAGCGCTTGGAATGGCCATGCGAGGAGCCGTCCTGGAAGGTATGCGCTCTACGCTCACCATCTCCATTGACGTCT